ATGGTGTAAACGTGGGATCTGTTGTGATATGCTAGGCTCAGGGTACACTTTGTCTTTAAATTGGCCATAATCAGCAAGTGTTCTGGGTCAAATGATGTGACACAAGATGATGGCAAGGGCTGGCTCTGAGATGACCTGTCCTCTGAGACAGACCACCATGGCAGGGGACCTCTGGCACAGTGTGCACTAACCAAGCCTTGATGTGCATGATGGAGCCAGCAGTCAGGGCTGCGGTGGAATCATTACCTTTGTGGACCCATGGTTTGCTGCTGCCCAGCCATCTGGGTGTGGAGGGCTGAGTGTAAGGAGGTACTGCCCACGTGTATGAGCTTCCTTACTGCCCCCAGGTGTTTGTGGTCCTCATTCCTGTCCCAGGTGTGTGGGCCACCTCAGTGCCCAGGTTTGTGGGGGCCCTCTCACTGTCCCACCTCACCTGGTCCTCCACTCCGCCTCCTCTTTGGCACGCTCCCTGCGGGCTTCTCTCTGTTTTTCCTCCAGCCGCTCCTTCTCCTGGCTGGCCAGATCTAGGTCCAAGAAAACAGACCTCTGTGTCAGGGTCAGGCTGGTTCAAAGCTTCCAGTTATGTCAGAAAGAGATGCCAGACCCCCACCCCTGACCGATAGAGGACAGGTCTCACTCTGCCTGGACAGCCATGGGCAGTGAATTCTGATCCCAGGAGACCAAGCAGAGTCCCAAGTGCTAAGGCTAAGCTCCTTCCAGCACCAGGTGAGAGCACCTCCCCAGGTAAGTGAAGCAGGAACAATCATGCTGAACCACAGCCCTCTCAAGGTGGGCTCTGTGGTATGCTGAGCAAATTAATGCCACTTGATGCCCAAGTGGGCAGGCAGGTGGCCAGGAAGGCAAATCAACATATCCCCAACATGTAGGAATCCAAATCCATTTCATCAAAAAAAATCCATTCAACCTTGACCTTCAGGATAAACTGTGTGGCTTCTGATGAAAGACACAGGGTGACTCTGAGTATAGAACAGAACTTGCCAGTCTTGGGTAAGGATGGGAAGTGGACCTCCTAGACTGCAGGCTCTGCTTCCCTCTCCAGCCACAGCCCTTGAGGGGTGGGTTTCCTCTCTAAAGTTATCATGGCAGCAAAGCCCAAAAGTGAACTAGTGAGACAGGCTCCCCAGCGGGGAGTTTTGCTGCCACTTGATCTAGCCTGGGAAGCAAGAATCTCACTGGGACATTAAAACCTGAGCTAGGTGCTGGTGGCTCATGCCTGTAATCCTAGCTACTCAGGAGATAGAGATCAGGAGGATCACGGTTCAAAGCCGGCCCAGGAAAACAGTTCTGTGAGACCCTATCTTGAAGAAACCCTTCACAAAAAAGAGCTGGTGGAATGGCTCAAAATGTAGGCCCTGAGTTCAAGCCCCAGTACAACCCCCACCACACACACACATAAATACCTGAGCACTAATGTACACGGTGTACATTCTGACAATAACAGGTGTTGGTTATGGGCTGCTGCTCAGTCCTGGCTCAGAAAGAGATACAGCATGACAGTGACTGCATGGGTGGTCCACATGGACTCTGAATGAACTTTAGTTTTGAAATTTTTTTTTTGGGGGGGGGGGCAGTGCTGGATTGAATTTAGGGCCTTACACATTTGAGGAAAGTACTCAAAATGTAATTTTAATACCTACTGAATTTGATAAGAAGTTAGGGACTTGATTTTGCATATATCCTTTCTCTTTTGTTGTCCAGTAATAGTGTGACAAAGGCCTGGTCTGTGGCAGGCTGGAGACTGAAGTCTCACCACAGTTGGTCTGTGAAGCCCTGTCCTAGAAGGGCTGCACCCAGCCTGCTGGTTGAGTCAGAGGTCTGCACACTCTTCTCATGGGGAAAGCCCCCTGGAATCCTCAGGGCCAGTGCCTACCCATGTTGCCGTTCTCCATGCCACGGATGTCGGGGCGCAGGCGGCAGTCTGTGGGTGGCAGGGTCTTCTCCATGCCTGACTCCAGCTCGTTGAGACTCACAGTGAAGCTAGTGAAGTTGTACATCTGCAGGAAAAGGACAGGAGTGCATAAGGGGCCCGTGAGTCAGCTCTCAACACCAGTTGCCAGCCCCTCATCAGACATGCCCCTGCCTGGACGGAGGGTCCTGCTTAGCCAGCACCTGTTTGGCCCTGCCCTGAGACAAACGGCCTGCCTTTGGGCTCCTCCTTCCAGCCCCTGCCCCTCCCAGGTTTCAGTCCTGGCTCTTCCATCTTAGGGCATCCCATGCACCCTACATCCAGGAAGCAGAGGTCTCAGTCCAGGCAAGACCTTCACTCTCACTTCCACTCAGCATCTCTGGATGCCTGGGAAAGACCTCGAGCTCAGCACACCACAGGCAGGATGTGCAGACTGTGTCTTCCTCCCGCTGCTCACATCCTGTGGGGCCTGACTTCTCTGCTCTGCCCAGCCTCCTCTGCCTGCAGCCATGTCTCACCAGCACGTGGCTCAAGGGCTCAGGAAATGGAAATCCTTTCTGGTCACCCCTGTTCAAAAGTGACTTCCTGGGCACCCACGTCACTTAGCAACAGGTAAGGTCCTCAGAGTCCCCCACACCTTATCTTCCCTGAGCCTGTGGCCCTCACACACCAGTCTGCTCCTGGGGGTTGGGCCCTCTGCTGACTATGGCCCCTGAATGACCACAGCTCACCCCTGCTTCCTTTTGGACCCCACCCTGTCACTGTAGCCTCCCTGCCCTAAGACATGCTTCCCTAGCAGCCTCTCAGGTGCATGTGGCTCCCAGGAGTGCAACCTCTGCCTGCTGCCAGGGCCCAGCCTGCTGTTCGCGAGCCTGTTCCCAGAGCTCCAGGCCCACTCAATGCCTGGCAGGCATCACTGAACCAAAGGATGGAGGAACAAGTGTTCTTCTGAAGAACATGTGAGTTTTGTTTCTCTAGAAAATAATTTAGAATAACATGGTTAATCTAGCTCATACTCCCCTAACACAGTAACAGTGGTGTGGTGAGGCGACATGCTCTCAATGCATGGTCCATTCTCCTCTTTCCTTATTTTATGCTTGTTCTGTGGCATGTATAGACGCAATAAACAGCACAATGAAAATCTGTACGTTGTATGTATGTTTTATATGTAACATAACAGAGACACATAGCGTGTGCCATGATACGTTGTTATGCTTGTCATATATTACGTTAACGTTACTTGCATTAACATATGTAACATAATTTATTATGTATGTGATAACAATTGTAGGCCAGGTACAGTGACACACACCTGTAATCTCAGCTACTCAGGAGGCAGAGGCAGGAGGTAGTATCCAAGGCCAGCCCAGGCAAAAAAGTTAACAATACCCTATCTCAAAAAACAAGCTGCAAATGATGGTTCACATCTGTAATCCCAGCCATGTGGGAGGCATAGCTAGAAGATCCAAAGCCAGTCCTGGGCAGAAATGCAAGATCTTGCTGGGCACCAGTGGCTCACACGTGTAAGCTAATTCTAGCTACTTGAGAGGCTGAGATCTGGAAGATCGCAGTTTGAGGCTAGCCAGGGCAAATAGTTCAAAAGACCTCATCTCCAAAACAACCAGATCAAAATGGACTGGGAGAGTGGCTCAAGTGATAGATACAGTGCCTGCTTTGCAAATGGGAAGCCCTAAATTCAAACCTCAGTCTTACAAAAATAAATTATTTTTTTTAAAAAAGCAGGACCTTTCTGAAAACTAAAGCAAAAAGGGCTGGAGATGTGATTCAAGTGGTAGAGCTCCTGCCTAAAGCGTAAGGCTCTGAGTTCAAACCCCAGTACAGCCCCCAAAAAATCTAAGTTCAATTTTCAAAAAGAAGTATCACAATGCATTTAATCATCTAAATTTGTAAGTCAGCAGTGGGCCGTAGCACATGTCCTAGCTACTTGTAAGACTGAGTCAGGAAGATTACTTCAGCCCAGGCTTTCAAGAGTTCAAGGCCAGCCTGGCAACATAACAAAACTCCATTTCAAAAATAAATAAATAAAAATAAATTAAACTGAGAAGTCAGAAAAATAAAAACAGCCTCTTTAAAGGGGTGTGCAGCCCTCTCTTGATGAGATGCAATGAGAGCACGGCTGAGTGCTGGTATGCTTGGCAAAGGACAAGAGTGTGTGTGGTGGGAGTGTCAATGCTGTACAGACTGAGACTGGCCAAGACATTGATGCCACACACACTGCCAGGCATAGGCTCTCAGGTCTCATGTGGGCACCACAGAAGACAGGGGCCTACCTCAGGCTGCCCCAGAAAGCAAAGGCCTTGGGAGGGTTCAGTGGCTCAGCTGCAGAAGCAGGACACAGTGATGTGATGGAGCCCCCCCATATGCTTGGGGACAACCAGCTGAGGTGGCAGGCAGGGACAAGGTGGAAGAGCTGAGGGCTGGCCAGAGAGGCCTAGGCTTACAGAGCAGCACAAAGGCTCAAGGGACACAGACCTGGGTGGAGTTGGGAGGCTGGCCTGGCAAGAGAGCGGTACCAGGGCTTGAGGGACACAGACCTGGGCTGAGTTGGGCGGCCGGCTGTTGATCCTCCAAAGTAGCTTGCTGCCGGGAATGACCTGCACGGTCTCCTGAGCCACAGGCACATCATCAGCCACATCACCAGTTATGTCACTGTCAGCTTTCTCAGGACCGTCGTCCTGAAACACAGGACACCCGTATAGCAGTCAGCAGGGGAACCTGTTCTTACAGCACTTTGAAACCTGTTCTCAAGACCCTGCACAGAGGTGAGAGGTTAAGAAAAACAGATTTTGCCTCACTGGTGAGGTTGTCTGTCCTTCAGTCTGTGGGGTTCCACAGGTTCCACTCTCTGCAGGACTGGGCTGCGTCGCCCCAGGCTTCTCCCCCTCCACGTACGCTGTAGCACACATGAGGACCTCTCCTCCCAGAGAACCACATAGCCACGCAGAGGACACCTGCCTGCCAGCTGCTGGACTCCCAGAAAGCATGAGACCAAGGGCCTGCCCTCATTCAGAAGCAGATCCCGTGGGTGGACTCACTTCCTGCACCCACCTATGACTGCTGCCTTGTCTTTATAGAGTCAGGGGCTGGACAAAGAAGAGTGCCTTGCAGATGCTCCTGTGCAGGGAGACTGCTCCCACGTGGCGTGGAGTCCTGCCATTAGAGGGCTGCATCGATGAGGATGCTAGGAGTGAGTACTCCATGAAACTCATTGCTAGGCTACCCAGCAATCAGCAAACGCTGCAGAGGCCACTCAGTGAGTGTGACATCCTAAATCTGCACAGTCCTCAAATGGAATTTTCCTTTTGTTTTTAAAAAAGAGAATTATTAGAAAAAATGTCTAACAGCACACATGAACTATCATAATTTAAGAAACAGCCTCCTGAAGGAGGCTGAACATTTTTATTAAATAAATACTGAACATTTCAGGTTTGGTACATTCTGATTTATTATCTAGAAAGTATGACCTCTTTTGAATTATCACTTTTAGTTTTAAGCTCAAGAATAAACTAGTCTTAAGATCATCAGGGGCTGGTGGAGTGGCTCAAGTGGTAGAGTGTCTGGCTAGCAAGCACGAGGCCCTGAGTTCAAACCCCAGCGCCACCAAAAAAAAACCAGAGAAAGGTTCAGGCCTGGTGCCGGTGGCTCACGCCTATAATCCTAGCTACCCAGGAGACATAGATCAGGAGAATCACAGTTCAAAGCCAGCCTGGGCAAATAGCTCATGAGACTCTATCTCAAAAAACTCATCACAAAACAAAAGGGTTGGTGGAGTGGCTCAAGGTGTAGGCCCTGAGTGTTCCAAAGCTCTGGGGGAAATTCTGCCTAATACTTCTTGGCATTTGAACATATTACCTAGTACGCAGAAAAAAAACAGACAAGCAATTCACTCGCATTTTTATATAGGTTAAGTCAACGTAGGTGAAGAACTAAAGATTTATTAAGAAGGACCCAGAGCCTAGAGCTTCCAGAAAAATGGGCTTACATGATCTTCCTTCAGATGCTTCCAGCCATGGGAGGAAACCCGAGCCCACAGTTTATGAGAGCAGCAGCAACACAATCCCAGCACAGCAAAATCCCACCAACACCAGAACCCAAACAGAGAAGCAACTTCATCTGGACAGAGTGCACACACACAGAGTATCCTGCAGGGGCCACGAAGCACCACATTCCCTCATGGGTGAGCGGAAATTTAGGCTGAACCCAGAGCTCTCAGGAAGCAGTGGGCCCTCGCCTACCCCAGGTTCCAGCAGGGTTTGCTGTGAGTAGGCACTCACCAGCCTGGGCTTCCTCGGGTGGTCACCTCTCCTCTCGTGCTTTTTGAAGGATTCATATGAACCAGGATCTATGCCCCACAAGCATTCTGTCCACTTGCCATAGATCATAAAGAGCTTCTTCTTGCTGCGGTAAAGGGAGTTCAAAGTCCACTTAAGAGCAATTATAAAACATTCACGAAAGCACAGCACCTAAACTTTGACCTGAAGTGCTCTCCCCTCTGAGTGGCTCCTAAACCTTGGGACATCACTGGATGTGAATACAATTTAGAAGCCCACTCACCCACCTGAAAGCACCCACTCCTGACCCTGATACACCAAAGCAGAAAAGAAAGATGAAGGTCCAAATGCCTAAAAAGGGGAACCCCAAGGCTGCAGAAGACAAGAGAGTAAAAGAATGCACATGTATTGTATGTTTTTCTAAATTTAAAGCTTTATGTGCCCTCTCTTCTTCTTCTTCTTTTCTTTTTTTGAGGTACTGGGGATCAAATGTTAGGCAAGTGCTGTACCATTGAGCTACACCCCAATAATTCAGGATGGAAAAGCTGTAGGTCAAACCACAGTTTCCAAACACTCAGGCTCCATGAACAGCAGCCTCCACTCTGAGGCCTGTTTCTGCCCACAGGCAGGAAGCTGTCCATGGTGCTGGGTACCACCATTCTCATCAATGAGGCTGGTGTCCTTTAAAGTCCACATACGGTCCTGATGCCCTTCATCAGGGAAATGGTCAGTCCTAATTCTGACAGCACATTCTTGGCTATTTCAGCAGATGAGTTTTGTACCCTAGATAAGGTAGACAGCAAAAACACCATGATTTAAGTTGAAAGCTAGATGCCAGGAGCTGGAGGCATCTCTTGGTATTATATGGCTCAGTCCCATACTGAAGAAAACTGAGACATTTGAGACCTAAAACAAAGTAATTAACTGGGACGGACCTAAAAATCATGCTGAAATGCCACTGACCACTTCTCTGCTCACAAAAACTTGTAAAACTGGCTTCCAGACTAGAGTAAAGCAGCCGCACAGAAGTGATGCCCACAACACACTGATGTGCTTTGCTGATGCCAGACAATGGATGCCAGCAGGGAGAAGGAGACACCTGGCCAAGTGTTAAAAAACCTCAGTTCTGTTTACTGCAGCTTCAGAGCCAGGCATGGTGGTGCATACCCATAATCCCTGCACTCAGGAGGCTGAGGCAGAAGGATCACAAGTTTGAGGCCAACTGGGCTACATAGCATGACCCTGTCTCCAAAACAAAAACTGCAGTATTATCTCTGGGTGAAAAGATCTAATTTCTCAGGCTGACTTGATCTTTTCCCAATGGGAGAACTGAACTCTGTCCCTAAGGCTACACAAGATTTGTCCTTTACTTCCTTTTTCTCACAAAAGAATTATAACTCTCCACCATCAACAGACCTCACAACTGTGTCAGGGGCAGCACACCCACTGAGCACAGGGGTGTGCACCTACTTTTTGTCTTGAATATACCCTTCCACCCTGTGAAGTTCCTTCCCAAACAGTCCACACGGTTTGAAGTTAAGTACACACTTGTCTCCAGTTCTGTGGAAAAAAACAAACACAGGCACGTGTTCAGGTGAAACATCCAGAGAAGGCTGGTCTGCAGAGTAGATAAAAAAAACTAGGTGCAGAGGCCATGGAGTGTCGGCCAGCATCACAAAGGGCCTTTCTGGAGGATTGGGGTAGTGGTTTGCACAATTTAGGTAACTTACTAAAATATCACTTAAAGCCCATTTAAAATGGGTGAATTATGATTTATAAATTCTATCTCATGAACACAGTTAAGAAAAATCAAAGGTAATGAGTCATGAGCTTCCAAGGATAAGATATTCCAATCTAGATACTGGATAATTTTTGGGATGGTTCGTACGTTTTCCCCCAGTAAGCTACACTGAAGAATTGTAGTTTAAATTTTCAAAGAAATTAAACAATTGTAACAAAAACCCAAACAATATGGGGCACTTCTGATGACCTCAATACCAGCCAGAACCACACCCAACCAGCCACCACATGTGAGGCCACTGCAGGAGCCACTCCAGCTGAGTGACAGGATGGAAGGGACAAAGGGTGCAGAGAGCAACAGTTCCCTTCAGGCAGAGTCAGGCCCCCACTGAACCTCAGATGCCACTTGGCTTCTCCTGCTATGCACAGCCAGGCCTGTCACCTGTGGTTCAGGATCTCCACAGTCCCATACTGCTCGATCCACAGCTGCCCAAGGATGACATTGTGCACACAGCAGGTGGGATTGGTCCAGGTGTAGGCTTCATTGTGTCTGTGAAGACAACAGAAACAAGCAAGTCAGGGCAGTGGAGTGCAGACCCCGTGTGATTCAGAATGCCACGACAGAACATTGCATTGTACCCGCTGGGGAGCCAGCTGGGAGCAGAAACTGCTTTGAAGTCCCTCTGGGGCAGGCTGTTTAGTTAGCATGTGTTTGAAATTTACTTCTTTTTTCTTTTGTAGAATCAACAAAGCTTTCTACTTAAATGTCAAGACAAGTTAATAAGCAGTAAAAGAAGACTGAGTCAAACAGAAATGATTTTCCTGTGAAGTTGTCAAAAGAAAAGGCACTTCAGCAGGTAGAGTGGCTCAAGTGCCTAGCAAGCACAAGGTCCTGAGTTCAAACCCCAGAATTGATGAAATAAAAAATAAAGAAAAGAAAGAAAAGGTACTTAAGCAACACACTGCAATGATACCCCACTAGGTGGGGAGTGGCACACGGTGTGAAGGCACATGGGGAGAGGGCTTCAGTTGTCAACAACACTCCATACTCCACCCCTTCTTTCACTCCTTATCCTCCAAAATGGCCCTGCCTCAAGGGAAAAACCCACAGCATGAGATGCAGCAGCTCTCCAGGCCTGTGCCCCAAGGGAGGCTACGTCAAAGACAAGGACTAGGAAAAAAAGGAGCACAGAGCAGGGATATTTCAAGAGCTACGTTTGGAATCTTTTCAATTTCCTAGGCAGAACCCAAACATGGTAATCAAAAAAGTATGCAACTTTTCAATTCTGCACACCTTGCCCCCAAAGCAAAAACCACTATGAGTCAGGTCTGGCAGTCAGGCATTTACTGCAGAGGCTGCCCTCACAGGCCTGGTAGACACCATGTTCCTGGGGGACAGTGGGGGACAAAGCACTGTCTGGCAAGCAGCCAGGAGGGGCCAACATGGAACAAAACACTACATTGGAGCCAGGTGTGGTGGTACATGCCTGTAATTCCAGTGACTTGCAAGGCGAAGGCAGGAGCTTCAGGTTCAAGGCCAGTGTGACCATCAGCAAGCAGGAGTGTGTAACTGTGGGGGTCCCTTCTGTGGCTCCTGACTCAGTTGCTCTCTCTCTATGGGTCCTCCCTGAAGGAGGCTAGTGCCATGCTCTGAGCAGCCTTGGGGGGGTCTGTGGACAGGAACGAAGTCCCTGGAGGACTGGAATAGGTGCTAGGCTAGTCCAGTTCGGGCACAGCCTGGAGGTGCTCCTACCTCAGGGGGCAGTGGGGTGAGGAGCCGGGCTGTTTCGGCGGGTTTGGGACTGCTATGCAGTCAGGAATGAAAGAACTGAGTGACCAAAGCACTCTGGTATGAAGAAAGGAATGTGGAATCCACTAGCCTCACAAGGAGAGGAATTTCCCCATGCCTCATGACCTGACCAGAAAGCCTAGCTGAAGAAGTGCTGCTGGAGGAAGGCTACCTGCCCCATGGAAGAAAGTCAGGTCTTCCCAAAAGAAAGTGTTAGTGCAGCAGCAAACAGCTTCCCCATCAGAGGAGAGCTGGGCCCCTGTGCTCTCGCCACTCACTTGAGGAGCTCCAGCGTGATGGTCCCCCGGGGCTCTGCCTCCACGCTCTTGCCCCAGAACTTCAGCTTCGGGTAGATGGAGCCGTGGAACATGAAGTCCTGGCTGAGACCCTCTGAGTAAAATGCACTAATGGGAGGGTGGTGACTGACCTGCTCGGATATAAATCTGAATCCCAAGTCTTCCCTAGGTTCGAAAATGAGAAGAGAAAGGAAAAGACAAAGAGCCACGTAAATGGCAGCAAAACCAAAGGGAAGCCAGTTCTCCTGACGGGCTGACGGTGTCCCACAGCCCCACGCCCCAGTGGTGTCTTGCCCTCCCCTCTCCCAGAAGCCCGCAACACTCGTCTCCCTGACGGAACATTCGGCCTAGCTCTGACAGCAACCAGCTAGCCTCACACAGTCACTCAGAGCACAGCTGCCCCACCCCAGAGAAAGCACTAGCAGGAGCGGCCCACCTTGCCCGCTGTTCTCCCACAGCCACCAAGGCTCACAGACTTCGCCAGGCCAGTGCCTCAAATGCAGGCTGAGCCTGATCCCAAGCTCAGTCCTCCAGGGATTCCCACTGTCAGTAGCCCAGGGCTTTGGCTCTTAGGCCTCTGGAGGGGCTCCCGTCTGCCTCCAAGAGACTCCCGAGACTTCCGTGATGGAATGTCTCAGACCCTAAAATGTTCCTGGCCAGGAAATAGGATTTTTAGAAGACTCTCCTATTCAATAAAAATGTCAGTTTTTAATTGTTCCGGAACTGTGAATACACCTACAGTTGTAGTCATTAAAAATTATAAAAGCTAAACCATATAATTACTAACATAGCTGGAATCAGAATTCCCAATCATTACAGAGGAAGGAAAGCTGAAAAATTAGATTTTAAAAGGTTGCCTGCCAGGGTATGTAATCTACAAAATGAATACTCATCTAAGAAAAGAAGGTGTATTTTTAGCTGCTCTAGAGGGATGTGAAGGGTTGAAAGACGCTGTACATGGCTCGGTGTGTGTGGCTGCTCTGCAGCCAGGACCACTCAGTGTCAAGGACACCCAGCATGGCAGTGGCCTCCAAGCAGGCCTGAAGAAGAACACACAACATGCAGAGTGTGTGGGAGTCTTCCTTAGTTTTAGAAACTTCACTTCAGCCCCAAATTGAGTCCCGGAGAAAGGCTGAGGATTCCATGTGTCACACTGTGTTCCACGTCATAGGTGGTCCCCACTCTCTGTGCCCATATGGCTTCTTGTCCATCACCCATAAAGTTTTCCCTGTTCAGCCTTAGCTTTTTCAAGATATTTGAATAATTTTCTCAGCTAGACAAGGTTGGCACCTGGAATGCTGGCACTCAGCATGCACCTGAGGGCTCATAGGGGCCAGTGATGGGCAGTGTCCACAAAAGGAAAAATACTCTACGTGGATTCAAACAAAAAGATACACCTGAGGGTTACACTCAGGGCCCACCTCTCTCAGTTTGCAGCTTTTCTCAGCTGCAGAAGTCCTTCCTGCTGGGGCACATCACAGCCAAAGCGGTATGCTGGGCTTGCCACCACATCACATTCTCTCAACCACCCTGGCTTTCTCAAAGGCAATGGGACTTGGAGAGCAGGAGATGGCCACTCAGTGCCAGCCAGCCTCGGATCACACTACAGTCCAGATGGCTCCCACTGGCAGAGCTAGGGAAGGCCCGCAGCTGAACCTCAGGGAGCAGGAGCAGAGGAAAACACAAAGCTAGTATTCAGGTACTTTCCCAAGTAGTCGTGGTTTCTTGCAGTGACAACTGATAACTCCTCCCCACAAAGTCTGAACACCAGTGCTAATGCATAAATGCACAGCGAAACCCTTCTCACACCAGAAGGGGGCCCACTTGTGCAGACCAATGCTTGGATCCCACAATCTCTACCACCAACAAGCCTGATCATCAACCATGAGAACACCTGATGTTTAGAGTCTCTAAACCTAAGATGCTATCACTGCTCAAGGTACCAATATTTTATGACAGAAAAAAACGCTGCAAATTTATAAACTGTGACACAGAAACACTACAACAGGGAAAAGAGGTTTTAGAATCAATGAAAAACTTCAGTTCAGAAAAAGTTCGTAACATTAAGGCAAATAATTACAGCACAATGTTAAATGTCACCAGCTGACATCATCACACACAAACAGAAATCTACTGGACGTCAGTAGCATTTGTTTTCACAGGACTAGGACTGATTTATGTTTTCTGCTTTTTCTAAGTTTCATATGTTCTTTAATGAATATTCTTACAGCCAAAAACCAAACATTTAGTTTTAATAAAATAACCCAAAAGATTATCAACTGACTCAGACTCCAAATAACAGATGAATTGTTTTGGCAGAACTCCCCATTTTATAGAAAAGGTAGTAAAGCAGGAGGGCAGTAAACCCTCCCTTAGGCTTATACCTGGCTCAGGACAGGGACACCTGAAGCTCAGTATCTTGTGCCAGACATTCTGATGCTACACAGTGAGAACTGCTCATCTGAGACTCCCAGTAACCTCCGTTCCTGCCAAGGTGGTTCCACTTGCTCAGCTGTACCTCGGTCAGGGATGAGAAGTATCCCCTGACTTCTGCCCTCCTGATGAGGGTGAGGGGTATGCCAACTTCTTCAGCATCCCATACACACACATACCCCACCATGTAGGCCACACACCTAGCAGGGAATGACAGGATCCTGGGTGGGTGAGCATGAACAGGCTCACCAGGGGGGCTGCACATACTCAGTGTCTCATCAACAGTCCCAGAGTCTCAGTCAGGCCGACCTGAGATTACTCAGCATTGTTGGAATAGCCTTCCAACAATGACTTGTGGTGACTTGGGGTGGGGGGGGTGCATCTCAAGGACAGTTTCTGCACAGCTACAACAGCCTGAGTCAACAAGGCTCATGGAGAGAACTCCCCCAGTCCGGCATTGCAGAGGCCAGGCATGTGACCTGGGGCCTGCTTCATACCTGGGTTGGTGTGCTATACCTGAGAACACGGTGGGAAGGGTTCCACACCACCCGACTCCAGGAGGCTGGTGATGATGCTCAGAACAAACTAGGACAGAGGAACTTCAGATTTTTAAAGACCAGGTGTGGTCTGGCAACTCCACTGGCCAGGGCCATCCAACCATTCTGAGAACCCGCAGGACAGGTAAATGGTGGCCATGATTCTTCCTCTCTTTGGATTCTCTCTCCTAACAACACTTACCAAAATGCTGTGGTAAAATGGCTCATCAGTACTGGCTCCATCCCCCATGTTTCCTCCCAAAATGCACATACACTCTATGCAGCATGCCTTTCATTACTGAGCTCACCGAACTGAACATCTGTTTTCAACCTTGCCTTACACCCTGGGTTTGTCCCATCATTAACACTACATTTTGTGCCATGAAACACCTTGTCTATAGCATCCCCAATACTTCAGTAACTCCTAATTCCAAGTGTCTACCCTCAGAGCTGAGATGCTGATGTTGACAGAATCAAGCTTTGTCACCTGAGGACCATCTGCACAACATTCACCATGGCTCCTCTTACCTGATCAACTCATATGTCTCTCCCAAGAGTGGGTTGAATGGTTTGCCAGTCCTCTCCCACTGGGAAGCCACTGCCGAGACCGCAAAAGCAGCTACAGACTGCAAACAATGGAGAGTGAGTAAAGGAGCACCCATAGCGAGGTATCCCAGGATCTCAGGCTGTGCCACTGCTTACTCCACTCATTTCTAGTTTCCACTAACACATTTCAAGGTTACAAGACTTTTGCAGAAATGTCACTTGTCACCACTTATTCCAAGCCCAAAAAGAAGGAACATGTTGTTCTCCACCCCATGGGCCTCCTGCAGATGCTGCAGCAGTATCAGCCTGTCTGTCTTGAACATGATCCACTCACAAAGATGCACACACACACATGTACACATGCACATACACACAGGCAAATGTACACACACCCATGCCGACACAGTTGCACATGCACACATGAGGCAGTGGTGCTGAAAGACCCGAGAGGAGCCAGCTCCACGAGGCTGAGACTCCTGGAAGGGGTAGCAGCAAGGAGCTCTCCAGCTGGTCAGACACCTGTGGAGCTCACACTTCTGGACAAACACCATGGGTTCTCCTCACAAGTGCCCCACTAGCAGGATGCTTGGGTCCCAACAACTACGGGATCAAGAATCAAATGGAGTCAGGTGGCTTAAAAGTGATCTGGCTGCAAGCACACGCACTGCCCACCTGCATCCTCTCCAGGGGCTGAAGCTGACGAGAGGCTCTGTGGATGAGGCGCACATGCTCCATGTACTCTGTGATCCGCTGCAGGAAACTCAAGGGCTCGTTGAAGGCGATAGGCATGGTTATCTTGGACAGCTCCTGGAGAGGAGAGGCCCAGGGAGACGCCACAGGGATACCCCGAATGCCCAGGGAGATGCCTGGTCAACACACCACTGGGGATGCCCCAAATGCCAGTCCCTCACCCCTCCTGCTTGGAGGATCACTTCACACAGCTACAGACTCCTATGTGGACGGGTTACCACCCACGGGTTTCAATTTCCCTCTGACCCCACACGAAGCTTGTTGTCAAGCCCAGAGGTCTTCCCACACGTTGGCCCTGAATCCTCTCCACTTTCCAGGTCCAGGTCCCACTCCCAGCAGACATCACACACACTGACAGCAGAAGATCCCAATGGCCACCTCTGTCATTCCTCCCCCATCCCACTTCCAGGTGAGTGGTGCCAGCCCCAGCTTCCTATTTAACTAAAACTGGCCCTAGCTTCTGCAACTTTCCAGGATGACACAGAAATGCCCCAGGTGGCAGGCAAGATCCTCCACAATGTGGCCTGTGGCTTTGCCCAAAGGCCTCTCAGGAGTTTTCAAAGGTGTCTCAGGTACCTGCTACCAGGCACTGTGGGGAAGAAGCAAGGCTGTGACTCCTGTTTCCAAGGAACTAATGGTTCCAGGAGAGAGGCCAGAGGATGCTCAGGGAACAAGTGCCAACATGGACCCCTCCTGAGCTGAGCTTCTAGGAAGGGGATTCCAATAGAGAAGGCAGAAGAGCTTCCAGGAGGAATTGCAGCTGAGCACAGCAGGACAGGATTTTAGGAAGAGGACCAGGGTCTGAGGTGGCTGAAGCAGAGACTAAGGGTGGAGAAGGCACCAGGCTGAGGCTGCTCAGAGGCTATAGGGATAAGGATGGCTTTGGATTCTGACACCAACTCACATGGAGTTACGGAGCCTCTTGGGTTCCTTGTCTGTGTGGGGCCGAGATGACCCTCCTGAAAACCTAGGAAAGCTGTGTGCGGGTGCAGTGAGACTAAAACAGGCCCTGCTGGCTGAGTCCTGAGACTGGAATTTCAGGGCAGGAGCATGCTGGAGTCAGGGACAGTGAGCTGCTCATTCAAAATGCATGTGGAGCTGAGGATCACTCGAGAACACCTGGAGACATGGGACTATTGGGTTCAGCAGGGTTGGAACTGGAGTCACAAAACTGAGGTGGCTTTTGGCACATGGATGTACCCAAAACCACACAACAGAACTGCCTGTCCAGGAAGGCAGGGAGGACATGTCAGGAATAAGTGGAAAAGACTTAAAGAAAGAGACTGAGAACAGGCAGAGACGTAACCTGGAAAAGACATTTCCAATTTGTGTCCCAGCCAAGGCTTCATGTCTCTTCTACGCCAAACATGCTTGGAAAATCAGAAGAGTTGAAGCCACAGGTAATAGCACAGGGAGTAAAAAATGTCAAAAATGAACAGGAAGAAACACAGATGGTCCAGGAGGGAGAGAGGGTGGCCTTGCTCAGGCTGGAAGAGGAGGGCCAGAAGTATATGCAGCTGGCGCTGCTCACCTGCGCTAAACTCTCAGCATGGGATTCTGCAGGCCAGTTCCCCACTCACTGTGGAGGTGCAGACTGCAGCGACCCCACAGAGGGGATCTGGCTGCATATAGAAAAATTCCATGTTTATCTTTTGATCCAGCAATCCCATTTTTGGGCACCTATCCCAAAGCCTCAGAGACAAGCATTCAGGGTAAGTCACTGAGGCCTGCTTGGATCAGTTGAAGACCAGAAATGCTGTAAATCTCCAACAACAGGGCACCATTCCACTAAACTACAGGGCAAACATGTGGGGGCATGAAGCAATTAAAAAGACCACTAAGGACTTGTAGGCAAGCGAGAGCAAAGGTGGAGAAAGCCTGATGCTGGTCTGAAGAGATGGGGAGAGCTACACATAACTCGATATAGCACGAGGATGTTGACAGTTACTTGTGGGCAGGGAGACAGTGCAGGAGGAACAGGGACAGGAACTGAGCTTCTGGAACACAATGCCAAGCTCTGGATGTAGTGTGAGTGTGCCCAAAGGCGTGTCGTTAATTCCCACTGTGAGGTATTAAGAAGGTGGACACTTAATCCAGCTATGGTGTTTACTGTGGGTCCTTTGGGAGGTGAATGATTACAGAAGGTCATCTGGGTGGAGCCTTGTGATTGAATCTGCTAGGTTATTAAGAATAGGAAGACAAACACACATGCATGAGTGTGCATACACATTCTGTCTTACCACACCACCTGGGGACTCTATCAGCAAGAAGGCCATCATCAGAGACAGCCCCTCAGTGTGTACCTCCAAAACCATGAGCAAAAATAAGCTTCTTTCCCTTAACTCACCCAGTCTGTGGATTTTTGTTATTGACAACAGAAAACTAACACATATACCTCATTTAAAACAAATATTTGTCACATTTTGAAACAAAACTAAACTTAGAAGAGCGATCTCTAACCATCAAAAATGAAACAAAAGAGCCTGTGGGATCCTCTATGCAGTCACCCAGATAACTGAAGGAACTCTGCAGTGGGAACATGTGGTCCAGCACTTAAAAAGTTGGGGGGAAGAATGAAGTTTCCTCTAGGGAAAAAGAAGGGAAATGGACAAGAGCAAAAAAATAAGTGTCATTAGAAGAACTGGGGAGAGAGCCCAGCTTGGTGGCACAGGCCCACATTTGGGAGGTAAGGGCAGGAGGATCACAAGTTCAAGGCTAGTCTGGGCCTTGAAAAAAAAAATTAAAAAAAAGATTGTGAGCACAGAAGGATAGCACCCCAGTACTTGGTGAGGTTCTTCTGGATCATGTGCCTTGAGTTTCTAGTCACCAAGTGCTGGTTCATGAATGAGTGTGCCAGAGACCCCACAAGAAAACTGGATTCCACCAGACAGGCAGGAAAAGAGCAGAACAGACATTACAGCCGCTGGACACTCTCGTTTTCTTGTCACAAAATCTGAGCATCTGACAAAAGATCTGCTGGCATGTGGCCAGGAAGAATCCCCCAGAAGCCCCAGCGGGTCCCCCACAGAAGGTCTGCAGGCAGTGGCAGGAAGCACGTTTTAAAGCAGCAGGAAGAAGACCATGTGTGATGTCCACGCCACCTGCAGGACCATCATTTTGCTGTCATAAATAACTTAGCTTTCCCTACCTTCCCCTTATGTATTTGTTCCTCTCCTGCTCTGTTATCTTAATTTAATGCTGTTTCTGGATATGTAGAGCACATTTTCTTAAACTACCAGCAGTGCAATAAACTCATAGGAATTCATATTTAAGCTTCATGCTTCTAATGAGCCGTCTGAACTCACCAGGCCAATGCACTTTTTCAGTATACTCCACACACTGAAATCACTTCTCGTGAACATGGGGGCAGGCAGTGCCGTCCTGTGAGGAGCACGAGAGTAGCACACATTCATTATCCAGCAGGGCAGGGGTCCACTTCCCACAATGATTACTCAATGCTACCCTCAGCTTTGAGACCTAAACTTTAGCCTTTTTTGAATTTTGGCATCCCTGGGAGAGAAGCTAGGCCAAGGCTGAGACCCCACAGGAAGGTTTCTGCACCATCGCTTTGGAGACCTCCTGGGAATGGTTATGGCAACCCTGAAGTCTTGACCCCTGGCCATGCTTTAGCCACGCTGCTATTTCCTTTCCTGAGCTGGAGGCAGGGCATTAACCAGAGGGGCCCTGTCTGCCACACTCCACTGCCTGCTCCAGGGGTTCATGCCTGATCCCAAGTGATAGCAACCTAGAGCAGCTGCAGGAAAACAGACAGAGATTAAGACCACCAAGAGTGAACAGACTAAGAAAACCTGTTCTGCGAGAGCTGAGTGCCTAAGCACCTGCTTTGAAAGCACAGAACTCTGAGTTCAAACTCCAGTCCCACCAAAAAAAAGAAAACCTATTCTGAGACTGGACGTACAGCCCTCTAAACACGGGTCTGTTTCCTGAGGTGCATTCCTTCTGGAGCAATCCTCCATTCGTGGCAAAGGCCCAGCAGTCACTTTAACCCTAACCCCTGTCCTGGCTGGACTGGGGCAGTCACTCCCCCTGGGAATGTTACACTGAGCCCTGTCTCAATATGGGGACCTGAAGGGAGATCTGACTGGATTTGGGGGAGGTATGTTATCTACAGGGCACATACTGCTGGCAGGGCACCACAGAATGGGGGCACAGAAGGCTCCATGGAAACTTCTGGATTCCCACTACTATTCTCAGCCCTGCAAAGGCCATCCCAGTGTTTTTCTGTGGCTTGCCCCAATGCAGAAGCTGCTGTAAAGTGAGCCAGGAGGGAAACTGACACTGGAACAATGAGAGCAGGACCTTGTCTGGTGCAGACCCTGGGAATGGAGCAAGGACATTGTGTGGAGGTACCCTGCTTATTCCAGGGCAAGAGGGAGAAGGCACAGCAGCTGTGAGACAAAATGGAAAAGAAACCTATCATCTATCAAGTACCATGTGCCAGGTTGCTAGAAAGAGGCACTAAGCTCCATTGCACCATCTTTCACGTGCATTCTGTGAACTTCCACCAGCAGCCACATGGCAAACTGTGGTGTGCTATGAGAAGGTGAATGTGGCTTTGCAGAAGGTCAGCGGGTCCCCCAAGGACAGAGCCCTTGAGTGAAGATGGTAAGGAGCAGGGTCTCAGGCCAAGACAGCAGTGTGGACAAGAACTTCAGGGCAGCCAAAGGCCCCCAAAGACCCCTCTAGCTGGGAGCCAGAACCAAGCCCCAGGAAAAGAGATGGGGGAGTGTCAGCCCTTATAGTTCAATGTCCAAAGGGACACTTCAGAGAGCAAAGGAGTTACTATTTAGAGCTACTCAGGACCAGGGGTGTGAGGCCAGCTGCATGGCCCTGCCACCTAAGCTTCAGGCTGAAGATGGAGGTGGCATTATCAGTTCTGATTTTGAGAAGTGCCACTGCACCTAGCAGGAAGAAATGGAGGAGGAGGGGCTGCATGTAGCAAAGATGCAACAGCATGAGATCCAGGACAAATTTAAAGAGGTGTCAGAGCAGGGTGACAGGGAGAGAGACAGTGTCCTTGGGCTGACCACTGGCAGCTGGTCCTGAGGTGTGGTGCACTGGGGAAGGGAGGTGGCAGAGGTGCAGAGAGAACCACGCTGCCCGGACATACAAGAGGTGCTCCTGCACCAGCTGAGCATGTGAACTAGCAACAAAGGGAGAGTGAACACCCTAAAATTGAGAGAACCCATCTCACAGGTGAGCTGGCCCACACTCAGAGGTCAGTGATGAGGCTGGAGGGCCTCCTGGAACCAAACACACCTCAGCACTGCTCCCATCCAACAGCTGGTCCTGCCCACTGCCTGCTTCTGACAAAGACTGAACTGTCCCATGATAGTCACTCTTATCTGTATCTACTGCATGAAAATGAACACTGGAAGGGGAAATGGATGTAACACTGCTATAGCAAGCTAATCAAACCCTTCCTGTCCCTACTGGGCCAGCAGCCAGAGCACCTTAACAGGACACAGAAGGGACAAGAGGATTGATCTGGTGCCTGTCCCTACTGGGCCAGCAGCCAGAGCACCTTAACAGGACACAGAAGGGACAAGAGGATTGATCTGGTGCCTGTCCCTACTGGGCCAGCAGCCAGAGCACCTTAACAGGACACAGAAGGGACAAGAGGATTGATCTGGTGCCTGTGGAGGAACAGATGGATGTGGATCTATAGGAAACAGGCAAGGATCTGGGTCACCAACAACAACATGTGCTGTCCATAGGACCCTGAGCCACCCTGGGGCAGGATGGAGAGGGTCCTCATTTCAGAGAGGGAAGGGATCACTGGTCAAAAACTGCCATCCACTGGCCTCTGAACCCCACAAAGAAGGCATGGAGTCTCTAAGGACACTTTCTGGCTGTGCTGGATGCTGTGCAGAGGAGCTAGCTCCGTAATCCAGGCACCTAATGCTACCCTCCAGCATCTTTGGGGGTGATTATGAGTGTGCTTTGGAAAGTCCTGAGACAATGCCTGTGAGACAACATACCTGTGTTTTTGAATTCCATTCTCTTGTGGGGATCTCTCCCCACTTTTCCCACTCCTAGTACTTTTGCTGGTGTCCAAATCAATCATTCCAGTTATCTTATTTGCCTCAGAAAATTCTCCTGAAGAGTTATCAAATTCAAAGCCTGCATGAAACAAGAAAACAGTTTTCACTGAACTGGGAAGATGTAAAACCCTCCGCCGTGACACTGATCATGTAAGCAGAATACCTAAAGCTCTATAGAACTTGGGTGTTTGTTTTGGTTTTTTGTAGACCAAGTTGATCTCAAACTTACTGTATAGCCCAGGCTGGCCTCAATCTCTTGATCCTCCTGATCTCTGCCCCTGAGTAGCTTGGATTACAGACATGAGCCACCGGCACCTGGCTCCTTTTAAATAATTTTTAAGTGACACTTGGAAGATAATTACCTCTGCTTCTCAAGCAATAAAGGTCATGGTTCACTCTAATGTCAAGACCTGTGGCGCACCACTGCCATGCGGGAGTGCTATCTCCACACCTACTGTGGCCTACTAGGATGGTGGAACTTGCCCAAACTTCAATAAGGATGAAGTGATCTCTGGGAAAATCAAAATGGATTTATTCAAAAAATCCAGAGGCATTAGGAGGAGTATCAGTTATGCAAATCTCCAAGCAAGAGGGAACTTTTGGGCGAGGAGGCACTCCAAGACCAGCCTCTCTGTGACAGGCATGGCCTCCCAGGCAGGGCCAGGAGTACAGTGGGCACATCTACCTGGCAGCCCTCCTCTGAGGGAAGGCCTGTTGAGGAGCATGCAAGTTTCACAGCAAGCAGGACGCCCATGAGCACACATACATGAGCAGAATCTGAGAAGCTGGAAGATGGTAAGGAGTTCAGCATCTCCTCTTGGGATTCTGGATAGAGCAAGTCAATAATGACATGTTCCAATAGCGAGCAACATACAGAGCACAGGCAGTGAACACCTGATACGGGGAGTGCTCTAGCAGGCCAGGAGGAAGAGAAGTCCCTTCTGCCAAAGGCATCTGCATGGGGGTGGGGAGCAGCTACCACCATCAGGAAAGATCCTGCGAAGAGGCCCACATTCATATTCACACCTGTTATTTGTGCTCTTACAGCTAAGGACAGGGAAATGGACCAGATAAGTCCCCAAAGTCCCTTTCCATCGATGACTGTTCTTCATAGAAAAGATGTATTGACATTCTGAAAGTTGGCCTTGAGGGACAGGAGGGGGACTGAGCAGCAGAGGGCATGCACTGCAGTGGCCTCTTCAGCCAGGCACAAGGTCACGCCCTGTGACTTAGAATGGCTGCTCAAAAGTGAAGGATAACTGAACTTTGAGATGGCAAGAGCTGCTGTGAAAGCAAGACAGCTATTTTTCAGGGTACTTGACCTGTGCAAAACAAGTTATAGTTACAACACTATGTTTTCTTTAATCTAAGTATACGTAACATAAGAATACTGACCTTCTCACTTGTGATCCAAATAAAACCATCCCAGGGAGGCTCTTCCAAAGACTTCAGACCCCACTGCCCTTCCACACTACCTCCCAAGATCCAAAGTCAGGGTTCCCCTCACTTGAGGTAGGACATCACCTTCTTCCTAAAAAGTCAGTGTCAGGCCTCATGTAACAGCCCTCTAGTCTTGCTTTGCTGAGTCAAGTGACAGCCCAAATGCCCAGCCATGCTCTGGACCCCATGACTCTCACAGTACTGCCTCCGGTCACTTTCTCTCTCAGCTCACCTGTGACGGCATCAAAGAACTCCTCCTCCCCATTCATCCTTCAATGGCCAAGCTGTGTCACTGCCCCAGTGTGGTCCTCCTACTGGATCATCGTACCTGACCTCTATCAGTAGTAGAAGCAACTCTACACTAAACGTCCACCAGACATTGAAGACCTGTGGAAAAACATTTTCGTTGAGAATTAGCTTCCAGAAAGTACATGGTTTAGAAACACTTTTTAAATGCCAATTCTTGAAATTGATCAACTATATCCAAGCAAAGGAAAGAAATGAATTATCTCATAACAAATAAGTGAGTTCAATCAGTATAAATGAGAGGAAGCACTCCTAATGTGAAGGTCAGGCAGTAACAGATAAGTAAGAGCCTATTTAAAGAATTATATTTAAAAATCATTTTCTGCAATTGTGTAAGAAAATGTATAACATGAACTTGGGAAAAGACACACGGACAGTTAGAAAGTAGATTAGTTTCAGTGCGGCATTCACATCAGGGCCTTCAACACACTCCAGGAAGCATTTCTGAACGCCGAGAAGCTAGAGCAAAGTGGTAATAAGTAAGTGGAAAATGATGTCAAAATATTTGTTTCACACCTACCTGAGACCAGTTTTTCTTTTTAGTAGTGAGGATGGAATCCAGGGCCTCATGCTTGCTAGGCAAGTGGTCTACTGAGCTACATCCCCAGCCCAAAACCAATTTTCAATTCCAGAGAATTAAGACTGCTATACAAATTAACCTCTATCAAGGTAAACTGAAGTAAGCTTAAATTTTCTCAAAATCATTTTAGCTCAGTATTTTAGAACTCATGCACATTAACTTCTCTTGTCAAGAACAGTATTTTAGCTGAGCACTGTGGCTCACACCTATAGTCCTAGGACATTGGGAGGATGGGGGTTCAAGGTCAGTCCAGGCAAAAAGTTCAAGAGACTCCATTTCAACCAATAAAAAAGGCTGAGCATGGTGGGGCAAGCCTGTCATTCAGTTACCCAGGAAGCATACAAAGGGGGATCATGGTCCAGGCCAGCCTGAGCATAAACACAAGACCTTATTTGAAAAATAACTAAAATGGGCTGAAGGTGTGGCTCAAGTGGTAGAGTGTCTGCCTAGCAAGCCTGAGGCCCTGAGTTCAAGCTCCAGTACTGCAAAGAAAAGGAAAGGAGGGAGGGAAAAAGAGAGAAAGAGAGAAAAAGAGAATAAAGGAAGGAGGAAGGAAAGGAAAGGAAAGGAAGAAAAGGAAGGAAGGAAGGAAGGAAAAGGAAAGGAAAGAAGAAAGGAAGGGAAAGGAAAGGAAGGACGGAAAGAAGGAAGGAAGGAAAAAGGGCTGGGAACATCACTGACATGGTAGAGCACCTGCCTAGCAAATGTAAGGCCCTGAGTTCAAACCCCAATACCACCAGAAAACAAGCAAACAAGAAGAAATGACAGGTATTAAAGCAAAAACTCAACCTTAACCCAAAAGGTTTCATATTTTCTAAGCAGACTGCTACACCTAATTGTGTTAGGACTATAAACTGAGCCCAGAGCTTGCTGCACAGTTCTGACTATGAAGTGTGAGGGATGAGGGCAGTCCTGAGTTAGGCACCTTCTGTCCTTGCAGTGGCCACAAAGTGCTCAGGGACACCCCCACAAGGCTAATCTCTGGGGCTCTGTTCACAGAGCAAAGATAAATTAGTAGAAGCACACTTGTAAATTTCTAGCTATCAGCAAACAGGCATTAAGCGCCTCCATTCCTCTTTCCCCTCGAAAGACTCTGTATTTCCCTTTTCTTTGCCAGGAGCTGGGCACCCATGACAGCACTGTGAGAGCAACATTCACTGGTGTGTGGCCTATTGTCCTTTGCAAAGTCAGGGACGTGCTGCTTGCTTCTCATTCCTAACACTGCAGAGCTGGTCCACAACAACCTGCATCTTGCTCTTGTCCCTTCAGCAGCTGCTGGAAGAACTGGTTTCCCTGGAGGAAAACTGGCTAAAACCAGGCAGGACTCCTCCACCTTGCTCCCTAGGAAGCAAGGACTCTGCTCAGTAAAAGGAGTTGCCTGAGTGTCTGCCACTGAGAGACCCACATTGAAATCTGACTGCTACTGCAGTGTCGGGAGATGGGGCCTTTTGAGAGGAAACTGGGCTCCTTCCACATGAATGGAATAACACCATTATTGAAGGAGCAGATCCTGACAAAAAGGCCCATTCAGACTCCATCTTTGCGCTCACATGCCCTGTCCTTCTCCCTCTCCCTCTCCCCTTGCCCTCCTACCAAGGGATGATGTAGTAAGAAAGGTGCCAGATTGTTGCTACCTTTTATTGTACTTCTGAGACTCCAAAACTGTAAGCCAATAAATTTCTGCTCACTATAGATTGCCCATTCTGTGGTATTGCTATAACAATGCAAAACAGACTAAGCCAAGAGTCAAGTCAAAATCTCCTACTGCAAAGATAAGACAACCTGGCCCCAACAAGCTGCAAGCAAATGAACCCATCAAATGTGCTGACGTTCGAGCTCCCAAAGACACTAACAAAGGTGACTGTTTGCCAGTGCATGACACCTATAAGTCAATACAGTATTTAGAAAATGGGACGCATTGAGCCTTTATCCTGGCTTTCCTTACACTATCTGTCCAATGTATCACTAAGTAATAGATGAGGGGACTTAAATTTTTAGAACTATGTCAGCAAGGTGATAGAGAAGGAACAAGTACCCAAACAAGCCATTGTAAAATATTGCACATTCATGTACCCAGGCACAACCCTAACAGCTGCTGCCATCACCAGACTCAAGGTAGCATCTGATGCTGGGTGTGCTGGCATATGCCTATAATTCCAGCACTCAGAGGCTGAGGCAAGAGGATCAAGAGTTTGATGCCAGCTTGGGCTACACAGCAAGACTCCGTCAAAAAAAAAAAAGGTGAAATTGCTTCTCAGTCCTTGGACAAAAATCAGAGGCATCTGTGCCTTCTGGGGAAGACGGCTCTGCCTATCAAAGCCCTTTGGCAGAGAAAATCAAGCCAAATCCAGTCCTGGATTTACCTACTGACTTAAGAAAGCTCAGAGAGCAATCATGCTACACACTCTGTGGAAGCACAAGCAGCGGTGCCCAGCCTCTCCCGCAAGTCAGTCACAAGGGAAGGAGAGCGAGGGGCGGAAGGAAAATGCCCTGTCCTGACTGAGCAGGGCTTCTCTGCAGCTATGTGCCATGCACATGCACGCTAAAGCACGCTGACCCACACCAGGGTACAGTGAGGATGCCTTTTTGTCTTCATCTTACACTTTAGATAAGTACAATTCATTACATGTCAATTATACTTTAGAGAACTAACTTAAAGGGCTGGGGGGTGCAGCTCAGTGCCACAGCACTTGCCTAGCATGTTTGAAGCCCTGGATTCTAACTCCAGCATGGAAAGAAAAAAAAAAAGTTACCTTAAAAAAAAGACACCAACTAGCTGGGTACCAGTGGTCCATGCCTGTAATCCTAGCTACTGTGGAGGTTGAGATCGGGAAGATGAAGGCTCAAGGCCAGCCTGGGCAAACAGTCCAAAAGATCCCATTTCCAAACTGACCAGAGCAAAATGAACTGGAGGTGTGGTTCGAGTGGTAGAGCACCTGCTTTGCAAGTGTAAAGCTCTGAGTTCAAACTCTACTCCCACTAAAAAATAAATAAATAAATAAAATATAAAGGACACCAACTAAGGATGGCAGTTCAAGGTCAGCCTTGGGCCCCCCCCAAAAGTTTGAGAGACCCCATCTCAACCAAGGCTGCACACAGCGATGGGTGTCTGTCATCCCAGCTACACAGGGAAGCACAAATGAGAGGACTGACGTCCAGGCCAATAAAGTGAGACCTTATCTCAAAAATAAGCAATGGGCTGGTGGAGTAGCTCAAAAATAGAGCACCTGTCTAGCAAGCACCAGGTCCTGAGTTTAACCCCTGGTACTATCAAAAAAAAAAAAAAAAAAAAAAGACACCAATCAACATGATGCTTGAAGCAGGATCCCAACAAAGCTGCACCAGATGTGTATCTCCAGAGAGAGTTGTGACACAACTGGACCTCTGATGGAGTGCATGCTGGGGGATGTGGGGCTCACATTCACTTCTGACAGGTCGCAATAATATTTCTCAGGAGGCCTGGTCTGCTAGAGCCGCATGTGGACAGGTGTATGGATGACACAACAGCATGCCTGGGATTTTCCTAAAAATAACCTGGGGGGGGACTCAAGGCAGATGGCCCTGAGCTGGAACTGTGGGGGTCGACATGGGTACATGAGAGACCCTTGTACTATTCTGCCTGCTCTGCTAATTACTCTGCATTTATTGCCACTAAAAGCTCCCATAATAGCTGGGTGCCAGTGGCTCATGTCTGTAATCTTAGCTACTTGGGAGGCTGAGATTAGGAGGACTGAGGTAAGACCCTATCTCAAAAATACCCAATATAAAAAGGCTCAAGTGGTAGAGCACCTGTCTAGCAAGCATGAAGCCCTGAGTACAAATCCCAGTACCACAAAAAAAAAAAAACTTTTTTAAAAAAGCACATTAAAAGCTACTTTAGCTGGGCAAAGTGGCTCGCACAGGTAATCCCAGATACTCAGGAGGTGAAGGCTAGGAAGATCACAGTCCGAGGCCAGCCCTGGCAAAAAAGTTTGTGAGACCCCATCCCAACCAATCAAAAATTGGGTATGGCGGTACACACCTGTCATCCCAGCTACTTGAGAAGCATAAATAGGAGGATCTCCGTCCAGGTCAGCCTGGGCATAAATGCAAGACCCTATCTCAAAAATAACTACAGCAAAAAGGACTGAAGCTGTGGCTCAAGTGGTAGAGCACCTGCCTAGCAAGTGCAAGGCCAAGATTCAAACTCCAGTACTGCCCAAAACAAAACAAAAGCCACTTTATACTTCTTTCTATGCTTTCTCACCTGTAACAAAAGTCCTAATGTTAAAGAAAATCAACCATAACTTATGGAAAGTCTTCAAAATGAGAGTGTGAGACACTAGGTAGACACACTGAAGACAGAAGCTTGCTGACTACTGGAACACTGTTGTCACCTGGGGCCTGTGCTCCTGACAGGTGGACCATAAGGTCCAACCATGACCAAGCTCCCACCTCAGGAGGCCTTTCCTGTAAGACTCCAAGTCTTCCCGGGCAGCCTCAGACTGGCTCAGGCCTGTGG